TCATTCAAAACTACAATTCAGTGTGCTATATGAAAGACAAATAGCAAGCTTGCACTGAAATGCATGAATATCATAGGCTATCAAAACCATTTGCTACTCAGTTGCAACATCCCTTACATGTAAATGGGTTTGAGAAGGGGGTGTGTCTGGCAGTTTGAGTGGATGCACAGAAGTGGAGTATGCCTCCACTTGGCGAGGGCCATGATGTTCGTCAATCCGGAGCCATTTTACCTCGTCCAGGATAACAGCTCCATCCACACGAGCAGTGTCGTGAAGGCGTGATTTCGGCAACATCCCGAGATTACACTATGCCACATCTACCTAAATCGGTAGATCTCAGCTTCATTGAGAATGTTTGGGCAGCCATGGGCAGAGACTTCACCCGCAATCGTCCTATGGCCGTTAGCACTTTCGGCGGCAGTTGCGGAATCCATACCACTAGGCTTGCCAGCGTTCTCGAAGCTGGTGGCGGTAGCACAAAATATTTAGGGGATTATATTTTTCAAAACCCTATTTTTTATGAAACCGAACGACGTGGACAATAATTTAGAAAAAATAAGTTATTCTAGAGAGATTTTAAGCTATATGTTGGTGTAATTAGTAAAAAGAAAATAAAAATTGTGGCCCCTGAGACAAATACCCCCCCTGCCCCCCTTTCAGGGCCACTAATGTCAGGTCGAGTTCACAGCACTTTTCCCAACCCTTTTTGTCGTCGTCACATATAGTTAAGCCAGAATGAGTAAAGATAGTTTTTCTTTTAGCAAGTGTATAAATACATACATACACATACACACACATACATGTGTGTGTGTGTGCGAGTGTCTGTGTATATATATACATATATCCATATACACACACATATATATACATATATATATGTTTGTGTATACATGCACACTCATAGGCCTGTGTATCTAAAATCACATACAAACTATGTTTATCTGTGTCTGTCTATCTATATATCCATTTCCTATCCATGTGTGTGTGTGCGCGCAAGCAAATATCTCTGCGCCCATTACGTCCACCAGCGTCCATGTAAAGCGATGCACGTCACTTCTGCATACTTTACCCCCCCCCCCCCCCGCCCCCACACCGCCACCACCACCAACCCCGTGCAAGCGAGTCCGACGAATCGTACTTCCTCTTATCGGAAAAAGTCTCAAAAAGTAATTATGTTAATCTTTACATTCCAGGGACGTCTTAGATGAACTTCAACTTGTTCTCGATGGAATTTTTGTAAAAAAAAAAAAAAAAAAAAAGTCTTGGAGATTTGCAATCCTATTAACGAAGGAAAAATGCCATATGGAATCGATAGAAGATTTTGAAAAATAGAGATGTTTTTATTTATTCTTGATGGTACTTATGGTAATTACAGAGAAGTATATTCTGTAAGTTTGTTTGATTTGTTAGTTAGGTCTGTATCTTTATGTACGTGAGCCTGTTATTTATTTTGTTGTTTGTGATTGTGTTTTTTTGTATCTATGTGTTTGTGTGTATATCCATCTTTCATATGCAAATGTAGATATGCAAATGCATGAATGCAAGAATCTATAAACAGAAATTAAAGATGTTATAAAGGTCGAAGATATTTTCAGATGTAGATAAGTATCGACCGAAAAATTGTCAACTCTAAATAGAAAATTCGGAGAGGAGATTCACCGAACAAAATGAAAAGAATCGAAACCCTGAACGACCAAATGAGTGAATCAAACGAACGCTAAAAGTCAATCTAAGAAAAGCAATAAAATGGCCATTGAGTCCATATAAAACTCAATCGTAATTAAAACGAATGATGGAATTATTCTCCGTCGAATCTCGATTTGATAACAGATCCCACACTTGAATTTAGGGTTCTTTTCTCCGTCGAATCATTTAGATAACACATAAACCATCCTCAAATCCTTTTCTTTCTTCATCCCTTTTTCCAGAAATATTTACTCTCCGAAGACATAATACGAGACGAAAAGAGTTAAGAAAAAAAATACCGTTATAAAAACAGACCTCTCGGCTCTCAATTTATCGGCTGTATTACAAGGACAGACACCGACCTCTCCAAACGTTTCGCAAAACGTTTAAGCGACACTACTCTAAGTCGCGCCTCGCTGCTTGCTCTCAAGCCCGAGAAGAGGATCGTCTCTTAGCAACCATTAAACGCAGGAACTGAACGGGGCCGCCACATAATCATTCACGGTCGAGCGAAGCAAGCTAAGCAAGATGGGTGCAAGCGAAACCAAGTCTTTTAGTGCTTCGACTTGCCCGTGTACAGTAAGGATGTACTGGCAACCCGACCTTCGATTTTCGATCCGGACTCAGGGAGGCGCTGATTTATGATGTGCTGAAGACTTGGGGATGAGAAATGTGGCTGGAAATTAGGATTCTTGAAGGGCAGTCGTGCGCTCCGATAATACTGCGTCTTATTAGAGAAATGTATGTACTTCTAATACAAGGAAGAGAAAACAGTTTAACACAGGTCACGAGCATGTCTTATGATATTATGTATATTGTAGTTAAATGATGCTTCTTTTAAAGGATGAATGAACTAATGAATAAATAAAAAATGAATATATATATAATATATATGTTATATATATATAATATATATTATATATAATATATATATATATATATATATATATATATATATATATATATATATATATATATTATATATATAATATATATATATTATATATATAATATACAATATATGTACGCGCACATATATACACATATGTGTATACATATACACATATATGTATATACATATTCATATATGTACATATGTATACGTATGTATGTATGTACTTGTTTCTATGTATCCATGTGTATGTGTAAGTATAAGTGCAAGTGTTATTGTAAGTATAAGTGTATGTTTATGTATATGTATCAAGCATATGTACATTAAGAGTATGTGTGTATGTATTTATGTATATTCAAAAACACGTAGGGTATGTTTCATGATAATGTAAGATATACAAGTGTATCTCAAAGATTGGAACTTAACGATTAAAAATAGATAAACGAAGTTTGAAAGCTTAAGCACATCTGGTCATCCTTGCACAGAGACAGACTTCGTAGAAGCATACCATACCTACGATGAAAATGAAGAAGAAAAACAGTCAATTGAATGAACACGGTAGGGTACCCACACATACGAGGGTATCTATATTCACGGGGCGTGGTACAGTCTCTCCACCCCCCAAAAAAATATCTAAAGAGATGCACTTGATCGTGAAAGGGCCAATATAGGGACATTAAGTCGACCGGCTTTGGGAAAACGCCATGCAGAGAACATGTGCATGGACTGGTCGCCCTTGACATGGGTTAAAATGACTCATGAAAGTACCTCTTGGAGTGGGAGGAAGGTCTGGTAATTTTGGGGGTGAGGGATGGAGAGGAGGAGAAGGAGGAAGAGAGAGAGAAAGAGACAGAGAGAGAGAGAGAGAGAGAGAGAGAGAGAGAGAGAGAAGAATGGAGGCTGGGAGAGGGAGAAAGAGAGAGAGAGAGGAATAATAAGTATCATGTAATCAATAAGCGTGGATGAGTCTTTGCGAAAGTTTTTTTTCGAGTTCTATTTCGAGAAGGATGTTTTTGTGCGCTATTTTTGCGGTTGTGTTTCTATATTTCGAAAGGATATTTTCTTCCAATAGGTACCTAGACCCATCATAAAATTCATTGAACTTTTGTGATGGGAAGAAAAGTCATCGGAAAATTCACAAGAAAAAACTAAATGATGAGAGAAGCGCTGAAAGAATCGGAAATACAGTAACTGAAAAACGGATCTCTTAATAACCAAGGTCTCCACAAACTCTCAAGAGATAAGAGATATGAGGTAAGAGACGGAGGCATTCAAACCGGTTAGCGTGGATACCAATCTGCCATCGATTTCTATGTCAAAAACATCTGATTGTTCCATCTTGCAGAACGTAAGAGAGTTGTGAAAAAAAGAAAGCAAGAAAAAAAGAAAATATTAAGAAGACAACAACGTATGTATGTATGTGGAAAGGGTACTCTGTAATATTCTAAAATGTGTAGGATATGCAAAAAATCCCGTATATAGTAACAAAACCTGCTGAAAGACAGAGCTCCCAATGTTACAGGAAGTTGTCATGGGAGAGAGTTGGACTATAAATCACATACGAAGCAACGCCTAATGGTTAAAGGGAGATATGATGAAATATGACACGTGCCAGCCCTCGAAAAAGAAATTATTTCCTCCGACGCACCGGAGCCCTTAAAATCCGTACAGGAATATACATAACACATGACACACACATATGCTAGTACAGACCTCTTTCAAGAGGTTTAATTTTCTTCTCGCTACACAGCAACTATTTCCTTCTCGAAATACAAAAAGGATACAAGGCATAATACCAGTAAGAACCCCATCCCAGGATCTGACTGGCACCCACGAAATCGAGGATTCTGGTCGACCGAACAGCATCCTCGCGAATAGGATGTTCCTCCGAGGGTGGGGCTCTGTGCCTGCCCTGGCAGTGCGAGAAGACCCAACCCGTGCAAGGTGCCTCTCTCTCTCTCTCTCTCTCTCTCTCTCTCTCTCTCTCTCTCTCTCTCTCTCTCTCTCTCTCTCTCTCTCTCTCTCTCTCTCTCTCTCTCTCTCTTATGAAAAAATAGCCCATCTCTTTCGTTTGTTTTTCGTCTGTCTGTCTGTCTGCTTCCCCCCCCCCCGTCTCTCTCTCTCTCTTTCTTTCTTTCTCTCTCTCTCTCTCTCACTCTCTCATTCTCTCCCTCACACCTCACTCTCACTTACTCTCACTCTGACTCTCACTCACACTCACACTCACTCTCACTCATTCTCTCTTTCACTCTCTTATGAAAATACCCTATCTCTCTCGTTTGTTTTTCGTCTGTCTGTCTGTCTGTCTCCTCCCTCTCTCTCTCTCTCTCTCTCTCTCTCTCTCTCTCTCTCTCTCTCTCTCTCTCTCTCTCTCTCTCTCTCTCTCTCTCTCTCTCTCTCTCTCTTACTCCATCCTACTCAC